AGCAGGAGTCAAGCTGGCATTGGAACAGTGATTTTAAAAAGGTAACTCTATTTATAGTTATATTTTGCAGTTGAATTTAAGGTATCCTTCAAAGGACTCAGACTAGATGCCATCTGAAGAGGGAATGCATTTAGTAAATTTATGAATAAAAAAGGGCAGCATTGCATTTTAACTCACAATGGGTCAAACAGAAGAGTAGATATTAGACTTTTTTTTTTAAGCTCTGTCATGCTTTCCAGCTCTGGGCATAGTTACCCATCTCCAAAGTTACTCAGTTACACAGAGAAACATTTCTGCATTGTTTAAGGCAAAATCAGTGCAGAAAAACATGTAGGAAGACATACGGAAAATCATTGCCTATTAGAGCATCTATCTGATGTCCATTTGCTGAGTGAGCTCTTTTCTTATAATTAGAGGGGAGCAATAATATATTTTTTTTGGTGATTGACTTTGTACTTTAGCATAGAGCCTCCTTTTTGGCAATATTTTTAAGGCAAAGATTGTTTGCTAGACAAAGTGTTCTTTCTTTCTTTCTTTCTCATGAAATTTTTCCCTGTGGCCATCACAGATGTGTATATCAGATGCCCTTCACTTTCAGCTCTTCTAGGATCCAGATTCAGTTTCAAGATGGCAGTCTGCCCTAAAAGGAGTGATTACAGCATGAAATTACAGCTGAAATACATGAGATCAGAAAAAATCCTATTGTAAATCTGTTCTGTCCTGTGGACAAGTAAAAGAATTCTTATCTTGTATGAAGAGGCTAGGTGGAGATAGCCTACAACAAGGCATCTCAACCTGTGGTCTGTAAACATTCCCTAACAGGAAACCACCTCTTGTTCTTGTTGGTGCTGCCTGACATAGCAAGAGGAGTGGCTGCTTATTTCAAGGAAAGTCAAGTTTATACAAATTGTCCTCATATTTCATTCAGTATATTTGAATTTTATAAGTGTGGGTAAAACCCGTTTGTTACAATTGTTTTATTTGTCCTTCCAGGGTGAAGGACATGGCTGGAAAATCTGTCAGGGTCTGTAAAGGCCCTCGAGCTCTCTTCTCTCGAATCCTGCTGCTATTTTCCCTGCCTGAGGCAATGGAGGATGAAGAAGCAGGTAGTGCTGGTCAAGGCCAGCTCTCCACAGTCCTTATGGTAAACATGGGGCGTCTGGTATTCCCCAGTTACACAGTAAATAGGAAAACACAGGTCTTCCAGGACAGAGAAGATCTTATCAGGTAGGGGGTGCTTTGGCAGTTTGGAAATCTATTCATTTCTAGAAAAGCTTTACTTCAGTACTTGTGTAGGCAAATAATAATTAATCATGTGGAACTCCAGATGTGAATAGATAGAAGTGCACTTTTGCAATGCTTTTAAATGCATTTTGTATCCAGGCAGGACTTGTAATTCACAGTGGCTTGAATTTTGAACCAAAGTAGCATATTTCTTTCCTTCATGATCATCTGCTGATGAAAGTTGTTTCTTCCTTTGCTGTGATGATAATTAGAATGGACTCTGAACAAAACAAAAAGTGCAAGTTTATGAGTAGTTTTAAATATAATGTATCTTGTTTGCATAAACTCTGCTGATTCTACAAGATTAAGAGTAAAGTTGGTTGCATGGTTCAATGTCTTTGAAGACTGGAAGAGAATTTATGAAAGGTATTGTATGGAGGATTTATTTTGATTTTCTTTATGGATTTCTTTTGACTAAATGCTTTCTGAGCCTAATAGAGTTATTATGTTTTTTCCCCTTAGGTATGCAACTGCTGCTCATCTGTCAAATGATATAGCCACTGCAATGGTAAATGGGAACTGGGAAGAAGCTAATAATCTGTATATGTCTGCTAAAGAAACCTGGAATGAACTGAAAAATCACCCCTCTTTGAGGTAGTAAACTGGAAACTAGCTTAGTGTTATATTATCTTACTTTTTGTACTTTTCCTTTTGAGGGAGGCTTATAGACTAGTGGTATTATTTAAGCCTGATAAATTTAGAAGCTTTAATGTTCTTTAAAGCTTTGAACTTCCTGGGTTTTTTGTTTAGCTTTTAAGTGATTCTATGAAAAGGCCTTTTTTATAAAACCTTGGGAACGCATTAGTAGGCATGGATAAATCACGAAAACATTTCTGTTCTGTGTCCCAGTGGAGGAGAACAAAAGTTTTTTTTTTTTTTCCCTTGTCATAGTTTGTTTTCATGGCTTTTAAACAAATAGAAATAAGCAGAATTTTAAATGCACTGTGAACAAAAGAATGTTTGCAAACGTTGAAAACATACTGGGTTATTCATCTCTTCAGACTTCCAGGTGGGTGTCATTTAGGAAATGTTACTAAAGAACTGAGAACTGAAATAATATGTATTGTTTTTCTTTCAGTTAATATATTTTCTTACTTAATTATAGACCAAAAGTTAAAGTCTTATGTCAAGCAATAACATCAGAAAAAACTTCTTTACAGTGAGAGTGACAGAGCACTGGAACAGGCTGCCCAGAGAGGCTGTGGAGTCTCCTTCTCTGGAGACATTCCAAACCCGCCTGGATGTGTTCCTGTGTGATGTGCTCTGGGTGATCCTGCTCTGGCAGGAGGGCTGGACTAGATGATTTTTTGAGGTCCCTTCCAACCCCTAAGATTCTGTGATTATAACAATTTTCATGGCATCTAATTTAAAATTATTTTCATAGCGGGTCACTTGGAGGTCCATTCCATTTCACAGTGAAAACAGTGGGAACACCTGCTTTGATTCCCACAAGACTTTCAAAAGACTTTTCTTGAAGCATGGAGGTGCCTACCCAAAATATTTTAGTCTTCTTTTGTGGCAGGACATGCCTGTTCTAGCCTTTTTCTTTTGTTCACCTGCGTTTGTAAAGTTAACCTTCTTACTTATGAGAACAATTTGGCAGTAACAAAATTTGATATAATACATTATGATTTTGCATCTGATACAGAACTTATTAACTAATAATTCCACTGCTATTGAAACCAAAATATGCTGTGCAAGTGTATCTTGCACCTGCTGTCTCAGCTAAACTATTTCCTCACCCTGATTTTGTAGCTGGGATCAGTTCAGTTATGATATATAAGGCATTTATTTTTTTTGTAAATGCTTCAGGTACAAGTATTCTTAGGAAGAGATTTTCAGAATTTAAATTGCCTTCATTAAATTGATCTGAGCTGCTGTTACTTCCAGCTGTCACAGAGCTTTGCCTGAGTTCCTGCGACGCTTCACAGTTGGCTGGGTGTACACAAGAATGCTTTCTCAAGGTGTTGAAATTCTGCAGAGACTTCACATGTATAAGGTAAAGTGGTGAAATGAGTAGGAATATGTGTATAATGTAGGGTTCTACATCAGTTTGCATTCCTGAAGTGGCTGGAAAATGGTGATAATGTTTGCCAGGATGTAACGCAGTTCTCTTAACAGGTTACTTTTCAGGAAAAAGAGCCTTTTTTTCTTTCTGCTTTAGGAAGTTTTAAATAGTTTTGATTTCTGCTTGTGCTTTGGAGATTTTCCATCTGTAATATACTGTAAGACTGTTGCTGATATGTTGTTTCATTATTTCAATATATCTGTGTTTCACTAGTTTTGGTTATTGCTTGTAAATAAGAAAATCTTGGAAGAAAATTCTTCTATGAAATCCCTGCCTCTTCACCTTAGGAGCTAACGTCTGCAGAGGCCACTGATTCAGGTGTTGTAGCAAACCACATGATTCTGAAAAATGCTTTGCCTCTGCAAAAAGGCAATAAGTAGTATTCAGGTCTCTTCCATACAATAATGAATACAGAAAAGACAAAATCACTATATTTTTGGCAGTTGATCTTTAAGTTTACATCAAAATGTCTCTGTTCTAGAGTTTTTAACATGTACCCATGCACCTGAATATGAGTAAAAATGGAATTTGAATTGTGCAGAGAGTAAGTTTTATAGTACCCAATAATTGGAAGGCAAAGTGGCAAGCTAATTATATAATGAAACTTCAACTTGGTTTTCTAACTCAATGAAGATACAATCCTGTTGCTGTAGGAGGCGGTGCAGCAGCTGAAGAGTCTTCTGTCTCAGGATGTGTATTGTACCGACAGCAGAGGGCGGTGGTGGGATCGCCTGGCTCTGAATTTACATCAGCACTTGAAAAACACTAAGAAGGTACCTTCATACCTGTGCTGTAAATTGGAAACACTGTAGTCATTGTCTGGAAACATTTTTTAAAAAGACTTCATATGAGTGGAGTACATTAGAAACAGCAAGGTAGGCTCTCCTAAAAATGCAAATATTGATAGGAATCCCCAGGTTGCCTGGCAACCAGTCTCACCTAAGAAACTGTGTATTGAGTGTACCCTCATCCTTGGTTGGCCTCCTTTTTCTGTTGCATGGAAGAACAACGTTTGGCCTGGAGGATGTATGGACACACCAGGCAGCAGCTTCCTTACTGCTCTTGCCTTTTAGCTTTGCCTAATGTGTGAGAACCAGAGAAATTTCTTGCAGTAAATACTTCTGCTTCTGAACCTGAGTCATGAAGAGGCCATATCTGGAATGATAAAAACAAACATTGGAAGGAGCTTTTTAATGCTTGAAAAAAAAAAAAAAAAAAAGGTTAAGTGAATTAAGTCCTTGGTTAACTGTTGCCAGTGGGGAGAAGGTTGTATTCTGTATCTAGACCAGTTTTGGTGTGGGGTTTCTACTGTAAGAGGTCAGGCAGCAGACAATCCCATTTCTAAGCTGGTACTTGTACACAGCTCTGGCAGGGTTATCAGTCTTCAACAGCATGGTCCTGCATGATAAACCATAAATGACCACTATTATACTGGTAAAGAATAACCTTAATGAATAACCTTTTAGATAGCATGTGTTACAGCTGTTGTTCATCCCAATCTGTTTAATTCTCTTAGGAAGGCAGGGGAGGGGAGAAGAGGTTTTGAGGTAATCTTGTCTTGGTAATCTTGGCTAAGAGGCCTGAAACTTTGCCCATGTGTTACAGCTGTTGTTCATCCCAATCTGTTTAATTCTCTTAGGAAGGCAGGGGAGGGGAGAAGAGGTTTTGAGGTAATCTTGTCTTGGTAATCTTGGCTAAGAGGCCTGAAACTTTGCCCTCTTCCCTTCCAGTACTACACACACACACACCTGGAGGGTGTGTTTGTGCAAGGAAAACACAACACATTACTTGTGCAGTGGTTAAACTTGCTAGTCTGAAGTCTGAATGATGCAGTTCAGGCTTTTAGAAACACTGTGTACGTGTAAAAAAATCTTTGAGTTCCCTAAGTGATTCATAAACTGGCATGTAGCCAAATGAGAGAAAAACAACCATATGGGGATGGCAAGGATTATTGTAAATCTCTGTGGAACTTTCTGGCAGATTTCTGCAGCAGAATACAAAGGAACCAGAGACAACTGCAAGCTGCAGTACAGGTTGTGCCTTTGAATTCCTTCTGAGCCATCACCAGCTCACAATTACCAGAGTAATTTCTCTTTACTCGAACTAGTGCCAGTTTGAATCCAGAAGCCTAGCAGTGCGAAGTAGTACTTACTAGTTAGAACTTCAGCATGTAAGTAAGAAAGGTGGTCCAGTCTTACATGCCGTTTTTTACATTCACATTTTTTGCTCCTTAAATCACTTGGTGTTTTGGCCTTAGTCAGAGCAGACAGACATGCCCAGGTCTGGCTGACTTGCTGCTTGTCCCCTGCTCGTTATTAGGCCGTTGAGAGCATCCTGAGGGGGCTGGCGGACCCGCGGGTGCGCACCGGGCACCGCCTCGCCCTCTACCAGCGCGCCCTGCGCATCAGGGACTCGCCCAGCTGCAGGCAGCTTAGGTCCCTGCTTCATCATCTGCCAGGCATCGCTGTGGAGGAGGTGACACATGTAAGTAAAGTTGCTGGTGTTTTCTCAGAAATAACCACTCATGAGGTCTTTGTTTCTTCAGACAAGAAAAGTGGATCTGGGAGACTGTTGGTAGGCAGCCTCTGACTTATTTGTGCTGCAGGGAAACAAATACAAATGTGTTTCTAAAACAAAAACCTCTACTGAACAAATATTTCTACTTATTTAAAATGGTCAGCTGAAGTTAGTCAGCTGTACAGTGAGGTCATTTGTATTGCTTTACTGAGTAAGTGTCAGCTCCACTAATTTACAAGCAACACTCTCAGAACCTTTCAGGGGCAAATCAGTGCATTGCCCCTGATGTCTTCAGGCCAATAGTAACCATAGCTTCTTGTCAGCACTAGATTAATGCCTCAAGAAGTGCAAGGTTATTTTAGTAACCTTTGGGAGTTATGCACTTTAAATACATGCTATGCAAATATGCAACATGAAGCACTTGCATTTTTTTTAACTCATTCTATTCATTATTGTTGCAAAAATAATTGTATATGGGCAAAGCCAGAGCATAGCCTTATTTTTTTCCTCAGCCTCCTCACTGCGTATCTCCCTACAGCCCTTCTATTTCTCAGTCCAGAAACAGCCTCCTCCATCATCTGTATTCATTCTTCCTGGTCTGCTTGTTAGAAGGACTGCATTCCTATCTGCCCAGGATTTTTGCTAGTATTTTTTTTCTGAAAAATTTGCCAGGTTATAAATGCTGATCAGAATGGTTTCAAGGGAATGGCAGGGTAAATTTTATTTTATTGATTTTTGGAAACAAGTCTAGTTCTGATTTTAAGAAAACTGAAAAGCAGGAACGTGTGTTTTAGGATAGATTCAAATTCCTAGGGTAAAGTTTTTAAAATGTGATGCTGGAAAGTAACTAGTTATTTTACTATATTCAGGTTACAATCAAAGGCAAGATGTGTCCTCAGATGGGAATGGGAAAATCTGTATTTCTAATGGAGGATACTGGTAATGAAGAAGGAGGTGAAGACTTCAGTGCATCCACAGTCATGTGCTCAGTTGAGGAGCTGGCATTGACTCATTACAGGCAGAATGGTTTTGATCAGGGTAATAGTAACTTTATTTTTGTACAGTAGAATAACTGGGAGTAAAGAACCAATTTCCTAAGTAGTTTAGTTAATAGACCAGTTTTATCTGATCTAAATAGACCAGTTTTTAATGTGATTCTGTCTCCTTCCCAAACAGCTCTAATATGCCATTTCCTTACTAAGAATGCCCTTAATATGTATTTTCCACCTGGCCTGCTTCCTGGCCTTTCATTATTTGCTGCTGTCACACACCTAAGGTGGTATTGAAATGTGTTTGGAAAAAATCCAGTGATAGTTCTTTATCTCTTTGTCTTTGCCTTTCTTATCAGTGAACAGCTATTTTATTTGTATGGAGTAAAAGGTATATAATCATACATGTATAATAATACATACACACTATACTATATATTGTGTGTAATGAAATAACTTACAGCATACATTCTGTCATCCATATGAATTATATGTAACATTACATATTATATATAGTATATTATACTAATAACAGAACATACATCAGAATGGTTGCAGTTTGTAGGGAACTCTGCAGGTCACCCTGTCCAAGCCCCATGCTCAAGCAGGGCCAACTGGAGCCAGTTGCCCAGGACCATGAGCATCTCCAGTGATGGAGACTCCACAGCCTCCCTGAACATCCTGTGCCAGTGCTTTGTCACCCTTACATTGAAATAGTGTTTCCTTATGTTTATATATATATACACAGATACATGTTTTTATATATTTATGTTCATATATATGTGTATGTCCCTATGTATGAATACATACACATGAACACATACACATACATGACAGTAGCTGTTATTTGGAGTCTCACTGAGCATTGGTCTGCTGGTGAGTGAGTGCTTTTGCCTTTCCTTCCTTCTCATTCTTTTCCCTTCCCCACCCTCCCCACTTATTAAATTGCCTTTAACTCAAGCCATTGGGGCATTATGGGTTTGGTGGTTTGTTTGGGGTTTTTTTGATTATTTTTTTTTCTTCACTTTTGCCCATCCAGTTGTCTCCCCCAGCCCACTGGGTCAGCAGGGGTCAGCAAGTGACTGGGTGGGTGGGCTTAGCTGCCATCCAGCACCAACCCACCACAGGGTTTTTTTAATATATACGATATATGCACATGAATGGTGGTGATTGCTTTTTGCAGCACATATATGCATAAAGGTATATATGCATACATAAATACATATAGGTATAGCTGTATTCATACATGTGTACATCTGTGCGTATATGTATAATATAAACAATTTATAGATACAAAATATTGTTATTAATTTATTCCTTTTTTAATGTAAAAATTTAAAAATGTGTATTAAACCTGATTGGTGGCAGGGCACAGTGATTTAACCCCACACTGTAAATGAAGGCCACTAACCAGAAAGCATTAGCAAATTGCGGAAGTAATAAACTGCATTTACTAGTTGCTGCTGTAATTTTGGTACATACTGACTTTTAACTGTTTATAAACTAGAACCTAGCATGTGTCTGTTCTGGATCAGGGTGATTTAGTACATTTTCTTACGAGATTGGTAGAGAAATTAATGTTTCCATTTTATTTACTTTGGCCCTTCAGGTATTCATGGGGAAGGCTCAACATTTATTACGCTCTTTGGTATTCTCATGTGGGATATCATTTTCATGGATGCCATACCTGATGTGTTCAGAAACTCCTATCAGGTAGGTTGGAAAGGCTTTCTTTAGTCAGTTTCTTTACCTATTGCTATAGACTCTGTAACCATGTTAAAAACTTACTTGAGATTAGATTAACATTTTATTCTGAGGGACTTTCCAGACAGGCAGCAACTGGTTGCCAAGGAACCCTTTAGTAACAAGCCCAACATAACAAGCAATGAAATAATGCAAACAGCAGGAGCTAAATCTGGATTGACTGTCAGATGGGGGGGGGGAATTCATCTGGCTAAATGTGCATGTCCTGTGTCTGAACTCACCAAAGTTTTCCTTAGAGTCAGTGGAAGAATCCTGCTCTCCCATAGCATGGTTCATCTCATCTGAAGGTGATGCATTCTATTTAAAACAAAGGTTTAAAAAAAGTTCCTTTTCAGTAGCCTTTAAAAGGAAGTCACAGTTTTAAGTTCAGGTTTGTTAACACCCCACACCTGCTTCACCCCAACATGCTTATGCTTTTGGGATCATCCTTTTTTGTAAAAAAAACCAAGGAAACAACACTATACTATCCCCCCACACTAACACCTTGCTACACCCTAAGGTTAATGAATTAATGATCCTAGGTGACCTTGTGGCTTGTTGCTAAATGCTTTACATCCTACCAATTAAAACTGGAAAGATTTAATAATTGCCATTAGAAAACTTGATCACCTACTGACATATACGAGGAAGACCCTAAAAAGCCACCTCAAATATAGCACTAAAAAAAGACCAGACAATTGTCTTATTTCTTCCCCTTTAATCCATTGCTTCTAATTGCAGCCCTGGCCAAGAGGTAGACCAGGCAGTGCTTTCCTCGTCCTTAACTGGATTTATTTGTACTATAGGAAATTAAAGGTTTGTATCAGTATGAGCTGTCTAGCTTAGGTAAACATTTCTTCTTCCCCCCCCCTTTATTTTTTTTTCACCAGTATTAAGTAAAAATCCTTGGTGTGGCTGAGTCAAAGACTACTGGTGGTCATTAGTGAGCACTACAATTATTTAATTGGTGGAGAGGGAGCTATGTTCCCTCGAGGCCATTCATTGTACATAGTCCCTTAAGCACAGGCTGTAAAAAGCAAACAATAGAATTATTTTATTAGGCTGATAGAACTAAACTCAAACCCACGAATACGAGTCACTGTCTGTCCCACTAATCTGATGTTTAACCTGTTTGTTTTGTTTTATTTTATGGTGACATAGATTGTGAGTCTGTGTACAGTCATGTCTTGAAATAATTTCTTAAGCCACGAGCACTTGTTTATAATTATGTTCCTGGTCACATCCACAGAGAGCTACTCTGTGATGACAAGAGGCAGATTACACAAAGTAATGGCTATGTTTGAAATGCCTTTTACTACTAGATTCTTGTCTTTATCCAACCAAGTAAATTTAGGGTTCAAAACTGGTTGCAGAAAGAAGTGAGATATGGTTGTGCTTCTTGCTTTGAAACTTTGAATTGTGAAGTTAAGGCTCATAGACAGGGCAGGAATGGGACTGTTGGAGCTCCAAAGGTCATACAAATATTGGTAAATGGAATCCATACAAATAACGTGTTTTTTGGTATAGTAGCTGCTATCCTTGTAAGGTGCTGTAATCATATTAACATCACGTGTTAAAAGTAGTTATTCTCCTTTCAGTGCACACTGCCAGTCGCTGTAGATCTTGCCTTGCTAATACATTTCCCTTTTTATAATCTCAGTCATTTCTAGGATGTATTTTTTGTGGGATTAGCTGTGGCTGCACTTTGTGTAGGGCTGAAGTTTGCCATTTTCTAAGTGCTCTGCATTTGATTTTTGAAAAGCTAGAACAGGGCTCAGCTTGATAGCCTTTTTCAGCCATGGGCAGAATGGGATAATTGCTGCACTGACTTCATACACTAACAAGCTCAGTGCTGTGGTGCAGGCTCTGCTTTCAGGTGGCTTGAGTGACAGTTCCAGTTTTGTCATTGCTTTGTTCTTCCCATCTCGACCTGCTCACTGTAGCTGTGCAGGCTTGAGTCCAAATCCTGACTGGAGTGGTACTGCTTGGGGGACTAGGAGAGCAGATGGCTGTTCTAATATATACAAAGTTTCCTCTTTAATAAAGGTTTATGTGGTGGATGTGGTCTTATTACATTGACACAGTGTTTGAGTGACTGGGTGGTTAAGAAAATACAAAGAAGGGCATTGTCATTCCTGGAATCACTGCTGGAATTGCTGGCAGCTTCTCAGAGCTGTATTTACCTTTTGCTACAGACGTCTCCCCTAGATTTATACACAGACAGCTTCTATGAGAACAGGAGGGATGTCATTGAGGCCAGACTCCAGCAGCTGCACACAGCTTCCTCAGAGACACTGGCAAAGCTGATGGCTGACACCTGGACAGCTCAGGAGGGAAAAGCAGCAGCTCTTGTTAGCTGGGGGCGGTTTGCTTCCCTCCAGCAAGCTCAGGTAAGGAGCTGTGGGCAGAATGGGCAGAGGGAGGAGCTGTGTGGCACATCACACCTGGCCAGAGGGTGCTCACAGGTTGTGCTGGGGCGCTGAGCCAAGACTGATGGTGGGAGGGAGGAACTGAGCAGGGACATCAGTACAAGTCTCCCTAATCCCAGTTACTGTTACTTTTTTATATGTTTCCTGCAACAGTAGTTGTTGGTAGCAGCGGGGAAATTGCTGTAGGTAACATCTGTCTCAATTCCTTGTTACATGTGACTGAAAAAGAAGCTGAGGTGGGCCATCCAATATTCATGTGAGAGGTGGGAAATGGCTGTACAGGAAAGTTATTTTAAAAAAGAAAAAAAAAGCTGACTACCAAAGCTTCTCTTGCAGAGCCTTGTCTCTTGCCTGGGAGGAATGTTTCTGAGCGGTGTTTTCAGGCGACTTTCCAAAGATCTCCGCCACTGCCGAGGGGGCCTTCCTGACCTGGTGGTGTGGAGCACACAAACCCACCAATTCAAGGTACATTGGGAGATCATAGAGATGGTGCTCAGCTGAGCCTACCCTTGGGTATAAAGCCTTACAGCTGTCAGCCCATACAAATTGCATTTTCCTGTCATGGTGCAGTTAAACCTGCTGCCCATCTGCCCAGCAGCTCTGGCATTTCATCTGCTATTGCAGCACATTTTGCCGTAGCTTTAATGGACATAATGAGAAACAGCAGGAGGTGGCTAGATATTGCTGTAGCTTAGGTCTGTTGTAGCAAGAGTTACTAATGTCATCAATTAACAGAAAACTTGAATATAAGACTGTAATGACCGTGTCTGTCTCTTGTTAAAAAAAAATAAATGTGGAGACATTTAAAAAATAGCCATTATTTTGTGTAATCTGCCTCTTGTCATCACAGAGTATCTCTGTGGATGTGACCAAGACCATAATTTATACGGAGTAAACAGTCATGGTTTGTGTCCTTCATGGTAGTGGAGGCAATTGGATATGCCTCAGCTGCTGGAGCAACTTGTCACACGTTTCTAAAACACAGCTCATCTGGTAAGTTGCTGCCAATTATCAGCTGAAACAGATGAGGTTGTAAATGATGGGTTGTTTTTTTTTGAGAACCATGGCATTTTCATTCACCAGTGCCTCTGTGTGTTGGTGGATATTTACTACATAAAGTGTCATTCTTACAGGTAAACTTTGGGGTGTAAGTTGTTAATTTAGCACCCACCAGTCTTTCCATCGTGCTAAATCAGTATGATTTTTGTTTCGAATAACAGCCATGAAAGAATACTTGTATTAGTCTGTGGGAGCTCCCCCACAGGCACACTACTAACCACCCACCTTTCCTTGTAGCTGGTGGAGGTGAAAGGTCCCAAGGACCGCCTGTCCCCCAAGCAGACACTGTGGCTGAGCGAGCTGAAGCAGCTGGGGGCTGAGGTGGAGGTTTGTCACGTGCAGGCGGTGGGAGGCAAGAGTCAACGCCTCAGCTGACAAGGAAGGTTTGATCACAGGGGTGACTTGGGTGTTGTTGAAGGAACTGGCTTCACACACACACGACTGGCTGCTGCTTATTAAAATTAGTTTCTTCTAAAATTCTGGTTTCTTGGAACATTACTGTAGTTACTTTTAGCACAAAGCATTCTAGAAAACAGTTTGAGAAGACTGTCAGTGTGTTTTACTGTAGGGCACGTTGTGTTCAGCAGAACACATATACAACTCGTATGAAAAGTAAGCTAGGAGTTTTGCTCAGTGAAGAGAAACAGCTGCAATGACACTGGTTCCAACTGACAACATCTTCTAAACAATGTAGTGCATCAGGCCCTGATCATTTCCGTGTTGCCTGTGTAGCCCAAGTAAGACCAATAGGCTGTGCAAGTTTCCTTGCAAGGCACAAGTTGAGCACCTTCCAAGTTCTGCCAGGCCCAGCCTGGCTCTCCAACTGCCCCCACTTTGCATTATCTATTTGCATTTTTCACTTGAGTATTAAAAAAAAAATTGATGATGGCATAGGGCAGTCATAAAACTTTTACAGTGCTGTTTTAATGTGCTGCTATGTATGAAAACATCATTTATTTCACAGCTCCTCTTCTTCTGAATACCTATGTTCTCTGTCTATCAGGGAAATGTTTCTGGCAGCAGACAGGAGTGAGTCAGGGCCAAGGTCACGCAGCATCTCACACATTACCCTAAGTTTTGCCCCGCATAAATTGATGTGTTTTCTCATTCAGAAGTGTCAGTCAATTGAACTGGAACCAAAAGGAGGAGTTCTCTTTTAAGACATGAAAATCCTGGGTATTTGTCTCAGTTTTAACAGCCAACATCTTTTCTCTGGAGTCTTCAATCTCATACTGAGTAAGTTTTCCTGAAATTGTGCTTACCATGCAAAAAGTAGACACTGTAACAGAATATAGCAAGGAATTAAGATCATTTGCACATCTTTTTTATTAATCATCTTTCTACAGCACAGTGTCCCTGCTTTTCTTGGAAAAAAAAACCACACGCCCCCCTAGTTTTTTTGTTAGAGGAAGTGAAAGAAAACCGCCTGGTTTGCTGTGGAAAGGTATGAACTTTTATTTAGTCTACTTTACTTCACATTCACAACTCAGCATCAGGATTTTATAATCTCCCTGACACTGCTACTTTACTCAGTAAATCATTTATCAGGCACAAAGGTTTTACTTTCAGTTGAAATAAACTCTAAACCATCACAGCAACAGCATTAGAAACCTACTGCCTAAAGCAACTGAGGTACAGATTTCTGTCTCTTATGTTAGAGGCAAATTTAAGATCTTGCCCTTTGCTTAAATACATGTTAGAATTTTTTTGGTTTTAATGTCTGTCCATCTGAGAGTAAGCCAAAACCTTTGCCCCACTTGCTACATTTTCATTAGAAATACAAGGCAGTTAATAGCAAAGTGGTTTTGCAGGCAGGTGCACTCGTGCAGGCCTGCGTATAAATACACACACACACACTTTTCAATGCATTTCTGGAATGAAGGATCTCTTTGATACAAGGCAGCAAAGGGCGACTAGACTGGCACTGCCATGATCACCAGGCCTACAACACGACCTCTCAGTGATTAGTGACACCCAAAGTACACGTCAACCACATCAACCAGCTGCTGCATTTCATCCCGCATGGGTTACAGTGTAGTACAAATGGTGTAACAGCCAGTAACAGCCAAAATAGTGCACGTTTCTAGAAACAGACAAAAAAAGGTAAGATTCCTGGTAGTTTCTCTACTCTGGCAACTCCAAAATGGCATTAACAGTATCTTACTTTAAATGGTGAACAGAAATTAAAATTTGAAAATGTGTACATATATACACACACACATATATTACACCTGCATGTCAGTACTCTGTACATAGAAGTTAAAGACGTACTCACCCCCCAAAATTGCTTTTGAAAGTTATTAAAGATGTTCAGAGCAGTCTATACTGACTATTGATAAGGCAACTGCAGAGTGGAGAGTATGATAACATTTAGTACCTGTCTTTCAAAAGTAAATTAAAAAAATTAAGATGTTTACCTTAAGAGGAGGAAACAACAGGCACAGGCAGTTCTTCAGGCTCCTCAGCAGGGGAGTCCCTGCAAACACAAGGAGCTGAACCTTCGCTGCCCCCTTTCCTCACTGCAGCAGCTGCCCCCCATCTCTCCTCCCCCATGCTTATCACCATCTCAGCCCTGCTTGCCTCACTCCCCTTTTCAAACCGTGTAAAATTTATTTTTAACTGTTTGGCAAATAGGTATTTAGACAGGTTTTGCTTATTATAAAGGCATATTATTTTTAACCCCCTCCCATGCTATATATATATAAAATACAAAGACCATCTGCAGCATCTGTACACATCTTAGAACTGAAATGTAAAAATGTCTGAAATCTCCTTAAAAAAGACAATCCTGTTTAAATATAGTACCCATTTTTTCCCCAAAAGGTACTAGCCTAAATATTAATTTTTATTTTATTTTTTAATTCCACCAGCTGCCTGCGTGGAGTAAGTTATTTACACATTTTTGGTACCTTTAAACCAAAAAAGTTAGACTTTTAAGGAAAAAGAAATAAAAACTAAAAAGACACCATAGCTTTAACTGTAATAGTAAAAAGAAAAAAAAAATGGTACCAAAAGACACTAAGCACACAGGTTGAGGTCTTTTATGTCAAGTATCAGGCCAGGGAAAGCAGTAAGCTAATGAAAAAAAAAAAATAACCACAAAAGCAAACTAATACCAACCTTTGAATAACAAATTGAACAACTCAGATGACTGCTCTGGAAGCTTGTAAATAAACACAACTGGTTTGTGGACCATTTAACATGTTCAGGCCATCTTGCAGCATAATGAGGCAACTGAGGTGAACACGCGTTTTTCCTCACAAACAGTTGACCAGACCTGATCTGTCAGCATTGTGTCATAACATCCACACACACATACAGCTTCTTTGCATAAAAATAGTTTTGGGGAGTTTGTTTAGTTAAAAAAAGAAGCCTCCCCTTCCCACCTCACCTCACCCTTTCCAAGGGAACCACTGCTTGTCCCTGGCAAAGGGCACACAGGGCCAGACACCGCACACCCCCTGCAGCCTGGGGGAAACAGGGTCCTGTATGCACTGTATTCCCTAGCACAAAGCCTGCACCTCTGAGGCCACTCCAGATGCATATTCTCTAAAATAAATACTTGAGGAATCTTAGACATCCAAAACATTGTAATTGAAGATGTGCTGAAGACCAATTTGGTTTTAGAAACAAATGAAGAGCTCAAGATCCTATTCCTCCCTTTTTCCTAACTGCTGGACTGTGCATCATCACCATGAAGTAACAGAGTAACTTCTAGTCTGTCATACAAGGCCTTTGGTGCCTTAACTCGTGGGCCAACACCTGAGTAGAGGCTAAGTGTTGGTTCCATAGTGTTTGTGTTTTACACAGGAATTGGTCAATACAAAAATACAGCCTCACTGTTAAGGTAGTTGACCGAAGCCTTCAACTATGAGCAGGACACATTACTGTTCCTCCACCCTCCCTGTGTACTTCACTCTCTACCTTTTCTCCTTATGAAGCTTGAGCCCTTTTCTGGCACGGCATCCAGGGGAAGAGGTATCATGGAAAAAGTTTCAGAGCAAAGAGGAGGCTGCTGCATTAAGCAGAGGGAAGATATTGGATTGAATTCCCTCAAGCAGTGCTTGTCTGTGGCATGGTCCATAAAGACATGCATGTATGTAAAAAAGAAGGCACCAAAAGCACTCTTCTAGCACCAGCACTCTCGTGGATTTGGCCACTTGGAGCACGTCCTCCTTTTTGGAACCCAGCAGGGCTTAAGTATGAATTCTCCTGAAAGCTACTTCATCAGGATGAGGAGCAGGTCTGCAGGGATCAGGATCTGTGCAGAGCTACAATGCTGAGGTGCTTATATAGAATAGTGAGGCTCGCATCAGACTTGCAAACAGGCTTAACCCTGGAGGACAAACCTGCTATCTCTTGAGCTGGCCTGCTGCTTCCAGAAATGGAGAGGGAGGCAGGGGATGGAACCAGAATTTACCATAACCATCTATTGTAAGAAGCTGAGGGGAGCAGTTGCAGTAGAGTCATCTTGCTACTGTTTCCTCCCAGTTAAAGGCACTTCTAAAGCTACTACAATATCCTATCTACAGTAAATGTTTAAGGTTAACAGTGCATTGTCCTGAAGTTGGTTCCTATAGTCTAAAGTCAAGCTCATGACAAAGAGCACAAATCTGACTAACTTAATGAATACATTTTGGGGAGAGAAAGAAAAGGGAACAACTCCCCCATGGATACACACTGCATTAACACCTATGTAGGATGACCGAGTCAGAACATGAATATGTATGTATGTATATAAGTATTCTTCCTGAAGAGGCAATCTGATAGAACAGTTTGTTCCCAGGATTTTAGCTGTGGGTCTGTGTCCCCTGCTCCTCGCTGCCTTGATTTGCCAAGCTGTTTTGACACAGGAGTCACTTCAGTCACTATCTGGGAAAAAAAAGGTATTTCAAGCAGAACCCTCATTAATGACCACACCAAGCCTTTCAACTAGCTAACGAAATGCTCCATCGCATATAGGAGCCAAACCACAAGAACAGAGAAGGAATGAGGGACCAGAAGCCCTAGCAGATGAGAACTACTTAAGACAAAGTTGTGCGACTCGAAGCATGACTTGCTCTGATCTGAAGTATTTGTGCAAACTTCCTTAATGTTTGTATACAAAAATTATAGCTTTCAATGCCACACGTAGCAGTGTTAACTTAGAAAAGACAAAATGATATGCTGTCTTCTCCCCAAACCTTCAAACCATCACATCACCTCAGTCTTCATTGGCAAGTGTCTCAGTGGATAGCCAGATTTTGGCACCACTTAAAAATTTGCTTAAAGGTGTTCCCAGAATGCTCCGTCTGCACAGGTTCCCTACTGGAGAGAATGGGAATGAGGAGGAGAGAAAGTCTGGGGCTGCAGAGGTGTCCTTGAAGCCATTTGCTCTGAAGTACATCCTGCTTTGATCCAGTTCCGAGCAGGTGCCTTGCAGAGCAGAGTTGCTTTTGTACTGCCGAAGGTTCCGGTTTAGCATGTCTACTTCATCTGCCAGCAAAGAAACTTTATGGAAAGCAGTGATGAAGCCACCATGATTAATCTGGGCCTCAGGAACCCAGCGGAAGTAGCAGAGTTTCCACAGTTTTATTTGTGTTCCAGAGATACGGGGTAGAATCATGCCGTGCAAATCCACAGGCTTTGCAAACCAGTCTCTGAAGTACTGCTCCATGCTGCTGCTCTGGCTCTCTGCTGGCTGCAGGAAGTCTGGTTTCAGTTTGAGTATCAGAGAGTTTCTTCTTGGAAAGAACTCTTGCTCACTGATGATTCCATTTTTTAATGCTGGGGGCACACCTCGCAATGTGGAACTGTAGTTTTTCTGCAGAAAATAAAGACTGGTAATTTTCCAGTTTTATGCTCATTTGAGTAGCAGATTTCCCTGAGCTGTTTGGATGCATTATCAGCCAGAGAAATGACGTGACCTGTAAACAGCCCTGAGCTTGAGTCACTGCTGTAGGGCTCACAGGGCAAACGCTGTGGTCCCCTGAGGCCTTTAAAAAGAAATACAGAAGTTTTCTAGACTTCCTAAAATAATGAATGACTGAATTAATCAGTATTCACTTAAGAAACTGACAATCCTGGAGGAAAAACGTGGTATGGCATCACTTTTCCATAGGTGAAATAATGCAAATGTTGGCAGGGAGCTCAGCCAAAACAGCAACTGTCCCAGAACACAATGCTCAACAATTTACCTCTTTATGTCTAGCTGGGAAGCTAAGAGAACTAACACTCCTATTGCTAAACTGAGGGTGTAAGACACTACATAGCTGTGGATTTTTAAGCCTGAACACTTCCTGGTTAAGCAGAAAACCAGCCCACTCACAGACAGACATCTCTTGAGTTACCTTTGAGCGTTTGAAAGTCCTGACGGCTCCATTCTGCACGCAGGGAGCGCTCTTGCCAATGTACAAGGGGTTGTGGAACAGTAGGCGGTCCCGGCTGGTAAACTGAAGAGACCAGTCCCAAACACAAGGAAACTTGAGGCCTTTCTCATCACCCAGCTGAATATTTTTGCTTATGGCAAATTCCTGCAAGAAATTAACATTCAGACGTATTAAAAATAAAAGAAAATAGACTCATTCACAGATCTTGGTTATAAACCAGAGCGTAACTATTGGGCAGAGAAGAGCAGGGATGTAATTCAGAGATGGCTGCAGATCAAAGCAACAGGGCAGCAAGGCAATCTGCTGGAGAAAACTGCTGTACCCTGCTTTCCATTTCTGCAATGCAGAGGCAGGATTCATGCTTACTTAGCAAAAATTACTGCTCAATGACACTCAAGTGCTTATTTACTTTTAGACCCCCCCAAGCTATCATTTTGAGAGCACACTAACAGAACCTCAATGCTCTACTTCTTTATAAGGTAGATACTGGCAATTTTAAAGACAAAATCTTTAACAAAATGAGTTTTACTTTCATCAGCCATCAAATATTTTCTACACACAGTTGTAATAAGCTGCAGTTTTCAAAAACAAATTAACATGGTTAGTTTTCTAAACACCTTCATTGTGTATTACTTGTATTACTATTTGAACTTCATGCAGTCCTTTCCAACTTTTTCAACTGCTTAAACAGGTATGTCAAGAGATTTCAGTTTGCCTGAAGTGTGACATTCTACTTATTGCCTGTCATTCTGCTGTTTCCTAGAGGAGTACAAATAATAGTACAATAACAACGCTTTTCTAGGAAAAAAAGAAAAGAAATTGAATAGACTTTCTTCTTGCATAGTTGGTTACTCTCTCTGCAAAGATCACCTGAGAGGACATTCTGATCATATTCATCTGGGGAGCTGAATATTTTGCCCCGAACAGTGTGTGACATTTGACAAACACAAAGGAATAGCATTTAAAAGCTAAGGTGATGTTATTTCCAGAGGGCAGGAAGAAGTCTTTTACTTGAAAAGAAGGTGTAACAGTTCATACTCACAGTGCTTTCCTTCACTCGCTGATGAGGACAATTGAAAAGGAAGGTGCCAAACAATGAGATACGTGCACTGTCGTGCAGTATGATAAGGTACATCTCAGAAAACTCAAAGGCTGCTGGGTATTGTTCTAGCAGCTGCCAAACACAGTCAAGAAACATCAAGAACAAAGGAGACTGGGAAAAGAAACAGAGTTTTTAGATTTAACACGAGCTTTTCCCAAGTCTTACTTCTTTGCAGTTAGTGCTCCTCAACAGGGTAAACTATTTGGAGCACTGCCTTTTTAATTATTTTATGCAACTATAATACCCTGTATTCCTGTTTAGTCACTTTCACAAGCAACTGCATCAACTGGCCTTCTCAGTGTTGCCTTCCCACAGCTTTCCCTTCTCTGTAGGAAGTCAAGCAGTTCTTTCCTGGGCTCTCTTCATATTCATGCCACTGCAAAAACACTTTCTGCCACGTCCCTCAAAATTTCCAAATTAGTGTTTGTATGAGCCTTCCTTACCACTTGGCCTTGTTCTCACAATGTACACACTTCCCTCTTGTTTGAAATGACTGGAGAGCTTATGATTCAGCCATGTTAACATCTCTGCACTTTCAAGCTCTTTCCACAGTGGCCCATAAATAGCAAAAGTATAAACTGTCATTTATAAAAAGCCTTAGAAATATTTTCCTCTTCCCAGTTTCACTCTTCTGTATAACCTTTCCTAGAGTCAAAATACCTGCTTGCTCATTATTTCCCCCTTGGTATTTCAGTTTCTTTATCCTTTCACACATTCACACAACCTCAGTTTAGCTGGTGGCTCAGGGGTTTTGTTTCTCTGTTACCCCCCTTGGGCACTGTCCCTGCCAACCTGGGGGTCCTCTGCTTTTCCAACTGCAATTAGAAGTGCCTCCTTTGCAATTAAAAGGCCAAAGAAGATTAGCTGGAAATACTGAAAATCAAGCAGTGTGCTACCCTCTATTAATCTGTGTGGCAGCTGTGCTCATAAAGCTGCAGTGCTTCTTTCTCAGCTTGATGCTCAGAAAAGTGCTGCACATTGATATCACCTGGTATTAAAAAAAACAATTATGCACACAGATACCCTTGGTAAAACAAACCAAACCCAACACCCTCCTAACCTCCTTCTACTGCCATAAAAACTGTGGGCCGTGCTGGCACTTGTACTAGTGGGGCCTTTTCTGTATCACATGGAAGCAACATAAAAATCCAGCAACATTTGGTTGCACCTGGTGTTTCACTTGATTCTCATCTGACTACAGAAAATAAAAGAACTATCCCAAAGACTCATTTTCTCTAACATGAGTTTCATGGCATTTGAAGGTATTAAAAAATGCTTTGACTTTTAAATTTCTGTGTGAATACATGTTCAGGCTGATACTAACCAGCTACCATTATCAAATACAAATGCAATTCACTTTTACCTCTTTGTCAGATCTCTTTAAGTGGTTACACCTATCTAAAAACTGATATCCTGCCATGACCCATTCCTTCTGTATTAAGCTTTGAAATCCAACAATTGTTCGAAAATAGGGATCCAGCATAACTTGAATGAGAGAAGCAGCAAGACAGCTCAGGTCCCGTCCCTCTTCCTCTGTGAACAACACACAGAAGACAGAAAATACATAAGATACAGGTGCTTATCTACAGTTAGACCTCAAAGAGCAAAAAGTGGCAACTAGGTCTAGTATTTTCCTTTGAATTTTTTGAATTTTTTTCTCAGTGTATTTTTTTCTGGGATATCTGCACTTACACAACAGCAGCCACTGTTAGTGAAATGCTTTTATATACAGGATCTCTGAACAAAACTGATACTGCTCATGCAAGGAGCACTAGTCCAATTACCACAGTACAAAAGTTCCCCCAAAGTTTTAATTCTATCATATCATTATCAGAATAAAAACCACAAAGACTCAAAGTGAAATATCCCTTGGATTCTGTGGGCTGTGTTTCAGTTCAGATACATAACAAAATTATTCCTTTCCAGTCCTTTAAATGCCTAAAGTATTTAGAAGCAACGGGGTTTATGTCTAGAGACTTCATCTGATGTTATCTGAGCGTGTTTATCTGTATTATCAGAGCACTGCTAAGAACTGCAGCATGCTGGAGGGATGTGTTACCTTGAAGAACTACAGAAACATGCTTACACTCCATCATATACACAAGCTCAGCAGAATGCTTCAGAAACAACCTAGACAGGAAAAGAAAGAGATATAAGCATTAATGGAATAGGTTCACACTCTAGAGGAAAAAATATTTGGGATATCTACATTCACCTAACTGATCTACTACAACAGAGAATCCTTCAACTGATTCACTGATTCTTTACACTGGTGAAAGTTTTTCACATCTCATTAACCATAATTTTATTAATGGTACAAACCTAATATACTCTAACCAGTGAGTATTTTCCAGTGAGGACAGCCACTTCTCTTCAGTTTCTTCAAAAGGCTCTGCAACAAGGAAAGAAATTTCATTGTAGAACAAATAACTATTCCTGTTAGCCAGATCCATTAGACTTGGTTGTATTTCAAGAAAAGCACCAGGGAAGAAGGACAGTCCAGCGTACCATTAACACACAGCTGCTTTAGTTTGATGTGTGCAGCCTGGAGCTCCTGGATGCTGGGGAGACACTTGTCCAGATCAGATTTGTAAACGTCGCTTCTCAGGGGATGGCTTCGAGTTATTGCATTACAAATCCTAGGCAAGAAAGAGAATCTCCATTTTATTACTGGAGAGGAGAGAAACAGTCTTTCAAGAAACACACCACAGTCATTAGCTGCAAACAACTAACACCATAAAACCATGCACCTTATTTAAAAAAAAACACAACAGTAGCTTTCTAATTTATATGCAGGAGATCTATTGCTCTTGCTACAAAGCTATTGACACAAATATTTTTGGTATCTGCTAGTTACAAAAGAAACAAAAAAAGGAAATGCTGGATCATTAACAAGTTTGGGAAAGGCACATCTTAGGCTTAGCTACAGTTAAAAAGCTCTATTCAATTTTTAATTTTCCACAATTTTTAGTAATACTTACATATGCTAAACAAACAGAATATATATAAAGTTTATAAAGCCAGGAAATCTGACAGGGTTTCAAATAAAACCAAGAGCTCCAGCCTAACACACACAATGCAAGCATTTGTACTAGCAAAACATTCACCTTACAAAGTAAACCAAAGAACAAGCAACACCAAGCTAGTAAACAAAAAACCCTTCTTACAAGGGGTTTACTAAGGCTCCAAATGCCTTCATGTTTCATCATGGACAGTGAACAAGTATTTCACAGAAATACCATATGCATTGTGGCACTAAATCTATAGAACTGTTTTTCACAATCCCACAAATACATTAACTACTTTTTACTCTGTCTTGCAGGCAAGAAAATCCCCACCAACTTAAGCTGTATTACAGTGATATCAGTAGAAAGGATTAAGTCTGATCCTCTTATCACAATACACTGGCTGCCTAAAAAATAAACATTAATGTTTGAAAAATTATTTAGTATTTGAAACGAGTAGATTGTGAATAGAAACTATGCCAGAACCATATTAGAGAACAGCTTCTCAACAGCTGCTGCACCACGGTATAAAGCAACTATCTTCTCAATGGCCAGCTGCTGCTGTAGGTTACACACAGGCACCACCTGTGTTACCCTTCCTGTCTGAGTAAAGGATAATAACTAATCCTTTACCTTTGATCAATTCTTCTTTGCTGCAACACATCTTTAATGTTGGCCATTCTTACCAGGGCACTGCCATTAGGGTGATTCCAAGACCATAACTGATAGGGGGGAAAAAAACACAGAAGAAACAACATAATAATCCAGGTTAGTGTTATTCCATAGAATTATTTTTTTCCTCAATGCTACACACAAAACTATGTTAACTAGCATGTACATCTTTAAGATTAACATTGTGCAATGATGAAGAACAGTAACAATGAAGATTGCACTTACTGGCATTCGTCTCCCAATAAAAGAGTAGGAGTATAGCTTAAGGTCTTGATCTGCTAGGGAAGATGGAACCACAAAATACTCTGGAAGGCTTGGGGAAAAAATACAATACAAAAGATTACTTTTCCCTAGGGATTTCCCCATCTTTTCTCCTGCTGCAGTGCTCCAGCCCCTACCCCTCCTATCTGCACAACCATACAGGTCACAGACACAGCTCGGGGTGTGCTAGGTCAACACCTGCAGGGCCAGAGGGAAGTGCAAAAGCATGAAAGCAAGAGATGCTCGAGTGTGACATTTCATTTAAAGACAACACTTGCAGGATCTTTGAACTGAGGGTCTTGCCAGAGTGTGGCACATTAAAGAGGTGAAGTACACAGTTAGGAAGGACAGAGGCGTTGGTAGAGGAGACAGGAAAAGACAGGAAAATTGCTCGTTTTCTTCTACTTGCATTATAAAAGAAACTTACCAAGTAGATATCATATAACCTTCATTGATTGAACAAACTCTCCACTCAGAAGCACCTGTCCTTTTGATTTCTCTATCCCAATCAGAGTAAGTTTCAAACAAAGGTGTCTGCTGGCCACTGGCACTGCCGATGCCACCACCACCACCACCTCCTGGGTCTATTCCATTCACCTTCTTTGCTAGGAAAAGAAAATTCATCAATGCACATTTAAAAAAAAAATACAGAAAACCCCAAACTCTTCACCTTCCTAATTACAAGAATGAGAGACTGGGCTCAGGACTAACATTACCTATTATTGTATCACACCACATCAGTGAATTAATGACAACTTGGCAATATGTGAAAATGTAAACCTTTTTTCCCCAACAGAAAAGTAACATAAAATCGGTGTGTTGTGCTGCTTGCTAGAAAGCAAGACATGCTACCACCAGGGACCTATTTTATCTTCAGTCAGAGGATTTCTCTCTTCAACATACCAAAGTTAGTGATCTTTTAAAAACATGAACCATTTATAGGCTCCCCTGTAATTAGACACCTTATGAAGAAAGCAAAATAAAAATAATATAATTTCAACAGCTTTAAGTGGCTGCTGTATTAACAGCAAATGAAATCAACTGAAGGCCAAGTTAATATATATATTATGCATACATATATATATATATATTTATATGCACTGAAAAAATAGCCTGCCATTTTGTGTCTAGGACCCAAGAAGATTACTGTTAGTCTGTTACTAACACAGAAGCATCTCCATTGTTGGTCATTCTTTAGGTGCCACGGAGACACTCAGCTGTGTCAAAGGAGACTACACTTTGGTTCTTGACACTTGGAAGTGAATTTTTAGATTGAAGTGAAATAAACTGAAACTCATCCCTTCTAGCTCCCCCATGAAAGCTCCCAGCTTTAGCAGGAGTCTGTAAAGATGGAAGAGCCTGCCCAAACAAACCAGATCACAGTGTTACAGCTCTACTGCCATCTCAGTGATTGTGTAGTTTCTATCTTCTGTATCTATCAACTTCATTCTTGCACAAGGACTTGACTACTTATGTTTTTCAGAAGAAAACTGGACTAAAACTGGAATGAAGTATATAGAGCATATAGAGAAATATAATTACAAAAAATGTTACAATTTTACTGTTCAGTAGCAGGATATAGAATTATAAAAATACAGCCTGGAAAACATGTAGATATACACCAGAGCAATACAGGCTCTTTATGTTCCTCAAGAAGCACAAAGAAAGTATCTCAACTTTTACTTCACTGGGACTAGCAAGGACAGAACACAGTGCTGGAATTGTAAGAGCAAAGCCAGAGATGGATGCTACAAACATCAGGGTTCACACAAGAGAAAAAAAACAACCCAAAGCAAAAGTATTTCAAGCTCTTTTCTCCAGCAACTGCAGCACAGCAGAACAACTATCATCTGCCATTCTGGTCTGCTGCTCCAGAGGAACAACGTTTTTTTACCCACCTTACGTAATTCTTCCACTAGGTAATTTTCCACACAGCAAATGGTATTTTAAGGACAGAGTAAAGACAACTTTGCGACAGACTAACATTTTGTTCACACTCCACTTTAATATTTCATTGTAATTTTATCTGCAAATTGGCTTCCTCCCTAGTACTCTGTAATGCTACAGTACATGAACCTTAATAAACACCCAGATCTTATCAGGTAAGAAACTGTATGTGTAATGATGTATAACATGAACACATGCCACTAATTCTTGTGCATGCACAGGGCAGTCATGTAGGCACCTGCATGAAAAACATGCATTTTTGTGCAAATGTGAAGGCCTGAGCTCATAATGCCACAATATTGAAATTTTCTATCAGGCAGATCAGTGGTTTCTACTGCCAGCTGCTAAGTATTCCAGTACCACAGAACTACGTGGATGGCACTTTCTCTATCTGGAGGCTTGTTAAGGCTAGAGCTGATGGCTTTTCAGCTGTGAATTGGCTGGGGAACACTAAGCAGTGACCACACAGCATTGCACTAGAAGTGAAGTTCCAAAGGTATCTTTTTCAGGCTTACCTAACTGACAAGGTTCAGTTGGAGATTGGCCTTGAGCAGAGAGGGTGTGCTCCAACTCAGCAGGGGTGGTGGAGGTTTTGAGTGGTAAGAACTGCCTAGTAAGCCTCTAGGAAAGAAGGTATGGAGTCCCCAGTTGCACAAATCCTCCTGCAATACCACCAGAAGAGAAACTTATTCCCAAAAGAAGGGCAGGTGAACAAGCCTGCCTGATGGGAGATTAGCTAGGTACCTAGAGTACCAATAGAGACATACAATAGGAGGATCCAAGCATGAGTTGAGAAATACGAGTATTCATGCTGACATAGGTAGTTTTGGTTTGCTTCAGACAGGAAAGACATTTTTTTTTGTCATTAATGTCTATCACAATGGATGACTTATAACTGCAAGTAAGAGGTTGGGTGCAGGACAAGCCAGTTTTAATACCCTTGAAGAAAGCCTCAAATGCTTTTTGCCACTACTTCTAGACAGAAGTCTTACTGAAGTCACATATTATGAAATAGGGAAAAAAAAATATGGAAGTACTTCCATGCTTACCAGGATTATGATAAATTTCCCCAACGTACTCGAATGCAAAGAGCAGCTGAAGATCTGTTGGCTGAGAATAATGAGCTATCGCAAGGCACACCTAGGAAAGGAGCATTTATTACTGTTATTTATAGACATAAAATGTATTGCCTTTAATTATGACAGCATGAAATATACAAAGCAAAAGTTAAAAATCAGTCTTCTGCTGTTTTATTTTCATATCTTGAGAGATAATAATTAAATACTTAAACATATTTGCCAAGAGACTGTTACTGTAATAATAGTAGGTGAGTTCATGACCATCTATGAACTGATAAGGGTTCACTAAGTGTTTGCAAGAAAGATCAGACTGCAACAGTCATCCCTAAACATGATTCTCTCTATCAACAGTGACAAGAAAGGTCTGGGAATTAATATGCTGTGCCTGCCCACCTGTGTATAGGAGGAGAACAGGGGAAAAAAAAAAGAGCATGGCTTACAGCTGCTGAGCACAGTACAGCAAAATCTCATTTGTCATTGGTCTTTTGATAATTAGCGGTTTGTATAATACAATACTTATCAATGTCACATAAGAATTTAAGAACGATCATACTGAGTCAGTTCAAAAGGTCCAACCTAGTGTTCTGTTCCTGACAGTGACCAGCTATCCATGGCTGGGGAACAGAATAAAAACAGACGAAGCAAATAATGAAATTTTACCTGCATATTTTTCAAGAGTTCACAGTTCAGGCCCTTCCTGAACTAAGACCTAGTATCACTATTCAACATTTGACAGGCATTTCTTCTACAAAGTCATGAGTTGGGCCAAGAGATTTTGGAAGTGTTACTTCCCTTTAAAAAAGCCCAGTTGGCTCTTCCTAAAAGTATCATACTTAACTAAAAGTCTATCTTTTCCACTACTTCACCCCCTAAACGCATAAGGCATACCAGTCTGTGCTGTGCAAAACTCAGCCTTCAAAAATTTCTGCTCTTAGAAGGGAAAACAAAAGGTTGCCCTTTGAAGACTTTCAGAACCTATGTCAATAGTCTACCCCATTCCCTCGTATTCCAAGATCATGAAGGGCTTTGATGAATATAAATGAAGAGCAGCTTTCCGCCAAGTTAGTTGGAGCAAGTAATTCACAGTGTGAAAATGCTACGTGACAAAGCTTTTAATTAGGGACACAGTATAACGTTCACATTATAACCACCTAAAATTTTCTTCCTTCCCTTCAGTTGTCTGTGGCTTTTTATATTTGGGAACATGTTAGCACAATGTATTCACTGCTCAGCAGTTTTCAAATTTATTTTTGAAAAACACTCTGTGCATCCAGGAAGTTGTTTTCTGTCAGTGAAGGGAAGTTTTCTTTTTGTCATAGACATAAAAGAAAGACCTGAATGACACCCAACTGCAGGAGCACTACTTCTGGCAGTGTAGTAGTGCTCCTGAGAGAGTTCACCTATGCTAAGTTCTGCATGGAGAGTCATTGTACTTTTCCTAGCTTCAATGCAACATACATCATGGAACCTTCATTATGTTTTTCTTTACTTTGGCTTTTGAAGGAGACATTCCTCATTATTTATAAAACTAGCAATGACTGGAGACTAACTAGAGTTGAAAATGGTTTGTCACAAACACTGCCCATCAAAAAAAGCTCCTGTTAAGTCTTGGAAGAAAGTTGCTTTAACTTTTCTTCCCCCATTTTCAGTTCTACAATGAAATTACAAAAGAGAGAGGACAGGATGTTCCAGGGTGGGGAGGGAGGAAGATCCCACAAAAAAACTTGAACAGCAGAAGTGCCACTAGAAAATATTCTAGCATGACTTTTCAAATAAACATTTAGAAGCTCATTTACAGGATCTGGCGAAAACGCTCATTATTACCATGAGGCAACTGGAAGCCATGCACATCTTGAGGTTTCAGTGTTCAACTCAAAGCTGAAGACATCAGCTATTCCATAATACTTGGCCACTTCTAGCAAGACTACTGCCTGTCATTCACAATGAAACAAAATGGAAATCTGTGTATATACACATTTTGACTTCTATTTTTCTATGCAACTTTGCACTGAAGTAACTGGCACTAACAGAGCTACTCATCTTCATTCATGGGAGTGAATGCTGAAAGCCTTTTACTGTGCTGATCTACTCTCAAGGCTTGAGGATGAACTGCAAGCCATTAAAAAATTCCATTGTACTGCCAAGTAACACAATAGAAATACAGTAAAATCTATTTTTAAGAGCAGCAGCTGAAAGCTCTGTCATTTTCTTGCCACATGTGAGGAGAGTGGCTGTGTTAAGAGGTGTAAGGCTGCAAGGGGGAGATTGCAGGCACGCAGAGCTCTGCTCTTGAACCCTGCAGCTTAACGGTGCTCCCAGGTGTTGCACAGTACAGACATAATTCACAGTCACAGGTGCTGCATGGGTGAAACAGTCTACCTGTAGATTACAATACAGGTTCAGGGCCTCCATCTCTGGTTTTAAAAAGATTTAATAAATTTATCCTGCTACTGTCTTCATTTTTACATTTTAGACAAAGTCCATGCATATATAGCCTAAACAACTATTAAAGACTTTTTCAGTTTGTTCCTCACTAAATTCATAGAGTAGTTTTATTGTCTGAAAGTTTCAGAAGACCAGCACATCCCACAGATCTCAGCACATTTACCACCATAAGTAGAAAGCTCTTACATTGGAAGACAAACATGCTTTACAGGAAATGTTCTCATATCAAACTGAAAAATGTTTGGTATTCTTGCCAACTTCCAATTGTGTAAAGCTGAAGATATTTAGGCTCCGTCAAATAACAAGAGAATAGGCTGCTTGTTGGAAAGTTCATTTATTAGAAGCAGTAAACACAATGGCTGTAATTATTTCATAGTACAGAGGCTGCTTCCCTGTGTCAGTGCTCCCTGTTCAACCCCTAGCTGAGAAAAATAATTATACTATCAGGGCAAGTCCTCTTCCTCAACAGGAATTTTACTAAGGACAAGAGCTTCAAAATGTTGCTCATACTCTTGGAAAAGGTAGTTTTGAACAGTCATATTTAAGATGTGCTAAGTTAGCACAGCCTCACATTTCACCTCCTTCCCTAAGCCAGGCCTGTCTGATGAACTCCCTGGAAGGATTCTATTTTTCCCTTGCTCCTGCAATTCCTATTCCAAGCAGACACCTATTGTGGAAAGTCATGCAACCAGGACAAAATCAAGTCCAATGGACAGAATTTGTTAATCTTCCTAGGCAGGAAGTCTTCTTGGGAAAATAAGCTTCCAGGTAACCAGAGTTTCACATTGTGCACCTTCTCCTAGCTGATATGGATTGTGTAATTGAGAACTGGTGGGGTTTTTTTTCCTTCTAAAAGAATTACACCACATTATACATAATACTTATTTTAGTTAGAGTACAAGCAATCTACACAAGAGGAAACAGCACAAGGATTTCAGAGGCTGAAGTAACTTTTTACATATCAGAATCCTTGTTTGCAAAAGAATGTGTTTGAATTCTAAGTAAAGGTCTTAAGAGAAATATTAAAATGCATGGCTATTTTTAAAAATACCTGTAGACAAGTTTACTGCTGAAAAAAGTTTTCTTCAGCCCCTCTAATCCCACTGCAAAGACCAAAAATGTACCTTCTTGTGCACTCCCAGTGTCTTGAGATGTTATTGTCATCCGTGTAAGCAATTAGAACAACATAATACAGAAGTTTGGAGGGGAAGGAAAAAAAAAAAAAAAAAGACACTAAAAAGGGTCAGGGTCATTTGTCCAAAACTCTCAGTTTCATGTTATTCAGAACAATTAGGAAAAAACTGTTCCACTTCATCCCAAGTGTTATGATGTGGGAGAAGGCTCATTTTGATTGCACAGGAAACAAGATTCCTTCTGTTTTGACTAAGCATGTGTTTGTGAAACTGCTCTCACACTCATTTAAAAAAGCTTGCTGGAAGAAAAGAGCTGAGAGCTCCACAAGAGAAAGGAACTGAGAAAATGGAGATATATTTAGAAGCCAGGAGATTCCAGGGTGTGTGCCACTCGGGTCACTGCCAAGATCCATGTGTGTGGTGAGGCAACACACTATCCCATCACCAAGCAGTTGTAAGATCTAAAGCCTCAGATTTTAATTTCTTACTCTAATGTCAAGTATTGTAGAGACCAGAAATTAGCAGGAGTTTTCAGTTTGATTGTTGGTTGTGATCTTTGGAACAAAATAATTCCTTTTCCTTTAAGGAATGTGAAATGCTGCTTCTTTCACACTGCCTAACTTAAGACTTCCCTAACTTGCTTACCCTTGCTTCCCCATCCTCCACTTCCTCCCACACCCACCTGGCTTTCCTTCCTTTGGAGACTCTATAACTTTATTTTAGAGACAAAACAGAATTAAACTCCTAAATAGTGATGAGTGCAAGTTTCCATTCTCTATATTATTCCTTAACTCTTGTCTCCCAAATAGCCATTAAAAATGAGGAAGAAAATATTTTCTTGACTGATTAATGTGGAAACAGCATTTTATAAGCATGTACTGGCTGTATTCTAATAGAACTAATTCACCTCAAAAGCGAGTGTTCTTCCAACTTGTTTCTGCTTAAGAGTAAACACCTCTGAAAGTTCTACCAATATTACCCACCCATCATGTCTATATGTAATCAAGTCAGACTGTCCACGTCAGGAGCCTGACTGCTTTCAAAACTGGATCTTTCTTTTCTAGCTCTTCTGTCCTCATAAGGAGGCAAAATTAGGAAGGGTTATTCTCCCTTGTGCCTTGTTCAGCAAACCTAGACACTTCCTTAGGAACAGATTACATTCTCCTTGCCAACAGCAATTCTGAACTGCATGCTGCCGAGTATTTCCATTACATTCAAGGCACTATGCATGAAACAAACTGACTTCACTGTATAAAGCTAGTACCACTTCTTGTAACTACTCCATATATTTAAAGCTCATCTTTAAATAGTAACTATCAAGTGTCAGTTTTATTTGTTTAACTACTGCTCTAAACAGAATATTTGCTAGCTTCTGGCAACAAGTTAGAGACATTTATACTCCAACGGTTTGAAGTGTATATAGTTTAGTAAGTAGATGTTTCATTTTGACCCACCACTGCTTTATTCCTCGGATGATACTCCTCTCTATTACCAGAGTGACATTTAGTTTGAAATCTCCCTGCTCCCATTTGTTTAGTTGACTGGATTTATGTAAAGTTTGCTATTTATGATGTATAAAGTGCTAACATGCAGTTCTCTTGCTTTATAAAACAGAGATTGTAATGCTAACTAACATCACCCTCCCTCCTGCTTATTTTAAAAACAAGTGAAAAAAATTATTAGAAAAAACTTCAGTCATAAATACTTCAGACATTATTATAGTCTGCAGAATTCACTGCTTCCAATAGGAATTCTGAGTTCTGCAGTTTCTCAACATCAAGCACCCTAGAAAACCTTCATAAAACACACAAACACAATGTATCCAGTTTATTTTTTACTGAGGAGATCTTAATATCTAGCTCCAAAATGAACACAGGCAAATGTATGAGGAAAAAAATACAGCTAACAATTATTTTTATTTTTCTCAAAGAGATGACTGGAGATTAGGGCCCCATGTCAAAAGGAAATAGGAGAAGCTGGAAAAGGTCCTGTGGTGTTCAAGCTGGACATTAGGAAAACACGCAGCAGTGGAACAGCTTACCCACAGAGGGAGAAGGTTCTTAATCCCTGGTGGTTCTCAAGATACAACTGGACAAATCCACAGCTCAACTGACCTAATCCTGCCAACTCTGAAGAGAAAGGTGGAATAGGTGATCTCCACAGGACCGTCCCATCACCACCTCTGGATCCATGGTCAAGTCTCTACTACAACATGCTCTCAGTCATAAGACAATGCTAGCACACTCAGCCAAAGAGAGGAGCAGGAATTCTTCCTCTCATCAGAACTCAGTTATACTTAAAAGTCTTGGTCCTCCCTCCCAAAGTTATGCCCACACAATTCTTTCCAAGTAGACAGCTAACAATGTTTTCATGTGTAAATAGCTGGAGGTAAATATTTATTAAAGTAGCCCTTCAGAACTAGATGGAGGCCTGACCACCTTCCTTTGTTTTCAAGCCTCAGGACAAGCTTGCTAATATGTACTACTGGAAGTGCAGGAACAGAAACCAGATAAAGATCTTTCAAGTGTGGTGCCACCAGCATGCCATTTAACTGTCAGAAAGAACACAATAACTCCATTCAATATCCTGTACAAGACGATTCCAGTTGTGCTCACCAGCATCCCAAAATAATTTAAGCAAAACTATTTCAGAAGAAACCTGACCTAAGGACCTCATGGCTTCACGTGAAATAAAGTTAGCAGGATCTTACCTCCCTTTGGTAAAAGTGTGATTTTGTGACACACCCGCACAAAGTTGCACTAACCTACCTGATACATCAAAACTCCAAAAGTAGCCACACAGCTGATACTATGATTTGTACAAGTTTTCTTCCACTCCTCTAGTTAGGCATTCTAATCTTTGAACTTGGCAACTATTCCACCTTTGTTACCACCAGGGAAATCTTTACAGCCCCACAGTCAGATCCTTCTGGATCTCTAGACCTAGCTGTTCTCTATCAAAAGAAATCATGTTCGATTGTGTAACTATAAATGTATAAAGCAAGTACCTTCATAAAAAGGTTTCACTTTTTGTTCTTGCATAAGTAAATGCAGCACAAAAAGGATTAATGAGATGCTGAGTTGATGCTTTCTTCCTCCCTCCTCCAGGCTAATCACTCTTCTTAGCTCTGACAGCCAATTAGAAACAGTTGCTATAACAATATTGCAGTAGACTGGCTGCTCCAGGGACATTTCATAGAAGCTGAGAGAGGGGGCCTGCCTGCTGGAAGCTTGCCAACCATGCAAGGTTACAAACAGCAAAGGCAGCAGGAAGGGAGGAACCCAGAAGACTAACAAGGAACGAACAGTCTGCGCCAGCCCTGGGTTTCTGCCCTCAGACCCTGTGAGGGTGTAAAAGGTGAAGTGGATCATCAGTTGCTTTGCTGCTAACTGCAGACTCAGACTCAGACTTTGCTGCTAACTGGGCAGATGGTTCTTAGGACGTAAGCTCAAACTTTATCCTACTGAGAAGACAAATACTTAAGCTCTGTGAGCAAACTGGGTCACATTCCATATCAAATGATTGCTGTGCCACACCTGGCCTCGAAGTGGTTGGTGCCATGGAGATGGAAGGAGCTGTAACTCAACCTATGGCACCAATCCCAAACAAGGACCCCGAGAGCTAATGGTAGGTAGACGAACCATCTCTGTTCAGCAG